AGAAGAAGCCAGACGGAAAGATGAGCTAAATGCTCACTACCCGATAGAATGGGCATGCTCTCTCGAGGGACGGGTATCCTTGAGAGAGGTCGAGGCGGGATTAGGCTGTACTTGTGAAAGTGAAAGCGTTGGTGAGGGATATGGTGACATACTCCAAACATTCTCCATTGGGCCCTGCGTGTCTACCTTGTCTCTTTTCATCGTAATGCACTTTTATTTACGTTGGCGGTCAATGTCACCCTTGTGCTCCTCTCTTTCCATCCAAACCCCCATTCTCCTTTCTCAACTACCTCCACCTATCCGGCGCGCATTGTGCGCTCGGATATGGTGATCCTCTCCTCCGCTTCCCCCCTATCGAACGCTGTCGACTATCTGCTTCTTTACAACCTATTTGTGTACTCCTCAATCAGCTCTTCATTCATTATATTTGATTGTCAACGTACACTGGTCTGTCGATTGAGATGAAACGTACACCACCGTACGCTCGGGGCGAATCACCGCGTTAGCCAACTTTCATTTAACCAAGTAAATTCTAAAGATACATTTACGAGAGAAATGCTGTTGAAATGAGAGGTTGAGCCGGACAGGGGTATTTGTCAATATTTGGCCATCATCGTAAACTTTAATTTCCACACCTTCCGACCAACATCCAACCACTCGCCGCCTATAGAAATCATGGTGAAGAGTACGTGTTATCGTGGAGCCTGTATACGAGATTATATAAATGCTAACCTATTGTCCGTTTTACTAGTCTATAAGCCTGGAAAGGTTCGCTTTATACCAGCTTCAGGAATGCTCGTGGACACTAACGATATCCTTGCCGCTATAATATTCAAATAATCACTACACACCTCAATTGCATCTCTTTTTGACCATGTATCGTTCATCACGCTCAAAATCACACTCCGCACTGGACGAATGCAGGTTGCTATCGTTCTCCAAGGACGACAAGCTGGACGAAAGGTCGTCGTAATCAAACAACTAGATGATGGAACAAAAGAAAGGCCATATCCTCATGCCATCGTAGCTGGTATTGAGAGATATCCGAGAAAGGTCACAAAACGAATGGGCAAGAAGACCATCGCCAAGCGGAACAAGGTCAAGCCTTTCATCAAGGTATGTGCTCTTTCTAATCCCATGCTTTGTTATGTGGAAGTGCATATGAGCTAACGATCATCGTTCTACTTGTGGCTACGAATAGACCGTCAACTGCACACATTTGTTCCCAACAAGATACGCCCTCGAGTTGGAAGGATTAAAGGGATGTGCTTCGGCAGAGACTTTTAAGGAGCCGAGTCAAAGGGAGGATGCGAAGAAGACTGTCAAAAAGCTATTTGAGGAGCGATACGTTAGTGGAAAGAACAAGTGGTTCTTCCAGCCCCTCAGAGTGAGTCCTTTTCCAGTATACCGTTCTGTTCGTGCTAACGAGTTTTTAGTTTTAATAGTTGGGCACGACCTACTTTCTCGTCACTACTTTGATATGGTCATGCACATGTAAATCAACCATGTTATGATGAGTATGCTTGAAAGCAACGTTTTATGGATAAGGCTGCCTTGAATTTGGGCGACGGAGCGACACTATATACAGCAGGCTTCAATATCATTTTGATCCTCGCGACTCTTGAACCTCTGAGTGGTCTCCGCCAAAGGACTGAGACACAGCTCATTGCATCTAGTCCAGACAGCACATAAGAGTGAGGCTCATCTTCAGTTTTGTAACCTTTACAGAAATGCATTCGTCAACTTTGCCACCATCGTGAAATTCACGCTCGACCATCAAGGACCAATTGACCTCGACCGGAGAGAATTCGACGCCTCCCTCGACCAGTCCAACTTGAGGTGACCCGACTTGGGACCAGTGCGCGTTTATCGACGACCGCCCCTTCGCCTTCCACCTCTATTATTATTCTTGTTGTTGTTATTATTCTTGTGCCTTTGGTGGCGCTCTCCCTGCTTGGCACCTTGTCTCGCGCCCTTCTTCGCACCCTTTTTCGCCGCAGCTTTTGCACCAGCCTTTGCACCGGCTTTGGCGGCAGCTTTGATGCCGATGGCCAAGAACGGGAGAATGGGCACTGGACTGGGATCTGGGACGGGAGCTGGGAGTGGGTCTGGCTCTGGGTAGGGTTCTGGGATGGGAGCGGTGAGGGCTGGTACGATGGCGAGGAGGGCGATGATGATGTGAGAGAACAACATGGTGAGTTTTTGTTATGAATGCGGGTTTTTTGCTCGGTTGAAGAAAGGTTTCTGCACAAATTGGTCAGGGGCGAGCGAGCGTCAGGAGAGAGCGACGTACAGAGGGCACCAGGCCACAAAAATGAAATAAAATGGAAAAAGTGGTGAAAGAAAAGAAAAAGCAAGTGACCAGCGAAAGAAAGAAATGCCGATGAGGAGACGATAGTTTGCCTCTGCAGCCGCCCCTTTTAAAGGCTAGCCTTGGACGATGCCTAGCGATGCGCTATTTTCGTGTCCAAATGTCTATCCTCGTATTGTCAATGGTTTCCGGGACAGTTATCCATCCGGTGTTGAGTACGCTTCTACGTAGGGAGAGCGGTACCATCGCCATTCATATTGTCTGATATTGGGAAGGTACCTCCGAGGTTGAATCCCAGCCCAGGGGGATCCTCAGATAAAAGGTAAAAATATTTATATAATTCGGATGCTGAAGTACGTTACTTGGATCAACGTTTACGTCCGCTTTTCGACTATTGTTTTGCTATCGCATGCCAGGCTCCTCGCGAGGCTAGTAGGCGAGACATAGCATGACTAATATGGATACGCAGCAACTATGCAGTCTATGCTCTTGCTTCAAGAGCGCTTTTGACGGCTAGCTTCTCGGCCTGGACTCTCAGTTTAGAGTGCGCCTCCTGCTCGCGTGCCCCGAGAATCAAGAGCCCTCGTAGAAATGTATGCACTAGGTAGTCTTGGCGTTTACAAGTTCTCAGGATCTCCTGAGACCCAGCGGCTAATCTGTAAACTGAGCAGAAAGAGCAGGTTCTGGAGGAGAATTGTGCGAGGGTCAGAGGAAGGCGACTTTCACAGGGGCAATGCCGAGCCCAATATCAGGGCCAATGCGCCGGTGCGTTGTAACTGTCTATTAGTAAGTGGTAGCCTATTATGGCATCATGCTGAGATCATCGGAGGAGACCTCGGAATACGTGCGTGTCGATCTCTGGGATGGCATTCGTCTTTAAAGGACGCCCTGGGCTAGGATATGCATAATAGATGAATTTTGATATTAATCACGTAAATTCAGTTATATTCATACTCATTGTTTTGTATGTATCGAACTCGAAATGAGACAAGATATCGATAGGCCTCTGGAGTGGTGCTGTGATTTCAACTTGACTCCGAGAGCTACATCCCAATTTTCCAATGTCGTCTAGATCACTCAAAGACTTACCTGAGGAGACAGTCCTACAAATAGTGAAACATCTGCATACAGATTCCATTATCCACAAAACGCCAGAAGCGCCTATCAGAGTCGATCTATTACAGTTAGCACTCTGCAGTAAACGGTACCAACGCATCACTTTGCCATTTCTCTATCATACCATACACTTTACTGGGCTAAAAGTAGTCGAGAGATTCCTTAACACAATACTCGAATATCCTACCTATGCACCTCTCGTAAAAGCATTCGACTGTTACGGACAACAACAGATGAAACCGAAGCCCGAACTTCATGGTATCGACTTTTCAAGGATAGCAGAAATTCAAAAGTTGGCTCCAGATCTCATTCAATCCATCAAAGAAAGGCAAGAATGGACATATGTTATACTCCTTCCGTTTTTACTCCAGAATCTGGAAGAACTGGATATAGAGATAGATTTGTACCCATACATGAGGGATTTTGGACATTACTTTTCCCAAATGCTCGATAAGGGCCTGGTCTTCCGCAAATTGCGATCAATTTCGTGGGGTTTCGCTCTAAATCTCGGCATGAATTTGTTGAGTTCAACATTCTTACTCCCCTCTATCACTAGAGTATGCATTGATGGTTGGATCGAATTTGAGGACACCGTAGCATGCCACTATGGAACATCTAGTGTCGAGGACTTGGAACTCAGGGTTTTAACTACCTCCGAAAAAGATATGAATATACTGCTTAGGCTTCCTAGAGCGCTGAAGAAGTTCACTTGGTCGCCAACATACTGGGAAGACGTGGCTGGCCCTATTCTGCTGCAAGGCTGCAGACGAGCGCTTGAATGCGTGTCAAGAAGCCTCGAATTTCTTTATTTCAGATGGAGAAACGGATTTGAACATTTTCCTCCCGGTTTGGAAATCTGGTCTCTCGATAATTTTGTCTCCCTAAAGACACTGTGCATCAACTATCAGCTTATCTGTGGCCGAGGTCCGAACTTGGTGCTTTGTATCTCCAACTCCTTGCCCAAGTCACTTGAGATATTGGTGATGCATTCCTGTTATGAGGGGCCGTGGATTGAT